TCTCCACGGGCGCAGTCTAGCGGGGGTGGGTCCCCCGACCCCATATCCTGCCGGCTGACACTTGCTGCCCCCTGCCTCTCCCTCTGCTATGCCAGGATAGCCATCTTTCTGGAGAGCGTGTATGAGCAGACCAACGTGGCCCCCCGGCACCAGGAGTACCTCTTTGAGGGGCACGTGTGCGTCCTCGAGCCCAAACTCCCAGCACAGCACCTCTGCACGACTGCGAGGAGCCCCCTGATACTGTTCAGTGTGGCCAGCGAGACCCCCAAGGGGCTGGCCTTCCGGGACCGTGAGTTGGACCACCCCGACAGCATCTCCTCCCCACACGCTCCTTCGAGAGGCAGGAGTTTACAGCCCAGGGCAGGATGAATCTTCCACAGAGGGCAGATCTGGGTTCTAGCTCCGTGTACACCTCGGGGATGCCACGTAACTGGGTTGGTGGTTTGACCTCTCTGGCCTTCACAGTGTCAGCAGTGCTGTGAAAAAGAAGTCCAGTGGAAGCAGGGAGGTTTGGACTGGACAGTGCTGTCCGCAGTCTCTGCAGCTCCTGGGGAAGCCTCAGACAGTCTGTTGGACGCCCCAGTGTCTAGAGAGAAGGGAAGGTGGTCAGGGGTCCCAAGCGTTGACCTTTCTCGAAGATTTAGCAGAAATGTCATTCCCTCTCAGTGTTCAAATGATGCAAATTTCAACCTCCTTCTCTGTGAAGGGGAGTTAGTTTGAAACGCATGGGCAAGAGGATGGTTTTAGTCCATTTTCTGACTATCAAGACCGGGCCTTGGCATATGGATGTAGTTCTTAGAAATGGCCACAAGGTGGTGGTGAGGCACCACGATGTAAAGCCGATCCTTACAAGCATTTAAGGCTTGAAAGGTGGGGGACCCTGGGTGAGTTGGGAGACAGGATGTGGGAGACTGGCAGTGCAGGGTGAGGGTGAGCTGGGAATAATGCAGGATGAGCTCAGAGTGGACTTGGGACAGTATGCATAGGCCTCTCAGACAAGGCCTTTGTTTGCAGCTGCTCTGGACATCCCCAAATTCGTCCCCAAAGTTGACCTGCAGGCAGATTACAACACAGCCAAGGTGAGGGGCAGCCCCCCAGACGGCAGGGAGGGGAGGCACAAGGGTAAGGGGTGCAGGACCTCCCCCACCTACCTGTGTGTTGCAGGGCGTGCTGGGCGCCAGCTACCAGGCCCTGTGGCTGGCACAGGCCCTGCTGGACGGGCAGGAGCTGATGCTTCGGGGGCTGCACTGGGTTGTGTGAGTACGCCTGAGGCTGGGAAGAGGGCAGTAGGCAGGAGGGCAGGAGGGTAGGGCTAGCGCCCAGACCTCCTTGGCACTACCCTGGGGCCACACCCTTGTACATGTTCCTCTGGGCCCCTCTGTCCCCTGGACGAGGTGGCTCTGACTCGGGCTCCCCTGAGCAGGGAGGTGCTCCAGAGCACATGCAGGCGAACCCTGGAGGTCACACGGACGGCCCTCCTCTTCCTCAGCAGCAGCCTAGGCGCTGAGAGGTGGGTATCCCGCCCAGGCAGCTGGGCCCCTCCACCCCTCTCTCTGTCTGTCCCTCACTCCTGACACTCTCAGCAGGGTACCTCATTCCCCACCCCCACCCTAAGCTCCCGTCTTCCCTCCTCTGCTAGAATAGAGAGGGGATTCCCACCCCTCATTCTCTGTCCCCACACCAGGCCAAACGGCTGCATCCCTCCACGCAGTCCCTCTCTTCAAGGTGAAGGGATGGGGGCATAGGCACATGGCAGCCTCTCCGCCCAGGAAGGGCCTCCCTCCTACCATGCTCTTCTCAGAACGGCTTAGAACCCTCACCCACAGTGCCAAGCCTGGAGCGGTGCCCGAGGGAAAGGACTCGCTCCCACACACGGCCCTTTCTCCTGCCCCCTCTGGGTTTTCAACCTGCCCTTGCCTGCTTAGGGTTCCCTGTTTCAATCCTTAAAACCCCACTTCTTTCCTCCCCTGTCTTGGGCTAATTAGGCATGAGGGGCTGGAAAAAGGAGAGACTGGGAAGGGGAAGCCAGGCTGGAGGGCCCAGAGATGAGAAACATGGGGAGACTGTGCTGGCCAGAGCACTGTGGAGCAGGCCCAGCCCCTCAGTTCCAGGGAGGCGCGGCCACAGTCTGGGTGGGAGACGGGAGCTGTGTGGCGCAGGAAGGCCCAGGTTGTGGGAGGCTTTTGTAACAGGGGGCAGAGACCGCCAAACAGGCCTGTGGTCTTCTGCCAGCCCCCACCTGCCTTTGTCCTCGGAAGCTCCAAGAAGTTTCCTGGCAGTGGGTTTGGCTCACTGAAGCCTTCATGCCTCCCAGGCCGTGGCGGCAGTTGGGGTGGTGGGCAGAGGAGACGGAGACGCTCCCAAGGACAGGAATGAAGCCCCCATCATGGCTGAGCCCCCATCATGGCTGAGCCCAGAGCTTTCAGGGATAGATGGGGCATCCCGTCAGCGGCCATGCTGACAGGAGGGTTGGGTAAAGGGACACTAGCAATCAGATGGAAGCAACCATGGAGGCCTTCCGGGAAGATGAAGCTCTTGAGGTCAGAAGAAGGGTAATTAGCTGGGGTGGGAAGGTCTGTGCAGAGATAGAGAGGAAGGAGGCCATGCTTGGTACGGAAGGAGGGGAGGGCAGGTGAGGTT